TGTTCAGGGTCCCCACTGGAGGGCAGTGAATTTCCACACCACTCCTCAAAACAGCCTTTGCAGAAAAGGTTCTGTGGCCAAATAACTTGGAAAGAGATCTCATCACAACATCATCCTTGTCCTGGCAAGTCACAAGCCACATTAGCACATTAAAGGCTCTGACAAGTCCTGTAGCAGAGATGCCTGTTCAGCATTTCCCAAATTTATTTGACTGTGGAACTTTAAAAAGTTGGCCTTTCCTGTACCCCAGGCATCAGAGTGACTGGGGACAACCTCTGGGAACCCCAAGCCTTTCAGTTTTCTCGGGGGCTCCTTCTGTGAAGGATGAATTTGCCATTTTTTTTTTTTTTAATGAGGAGTCTGACTTATTTTCCATAGAACACAAGATTTGTTTTTCACATTGTCGAGTGGATTTTGTCCTTAACTAAATCTTTAGTTTTCCCCCCTCAGCCATTCCCTGATCAGAAACATCTGCTTTGATGTCACACACTGAGTCACTGACCAGATGCTGGAAAACCCTCTGACATCAGGAAACTGGGCCTGGCACTGTCTAGAGCTTTCCTGATGGGGCTTTCTAGAAGCAATGTTTCTAGGGAGGTGTAGGACAGAGAACTCAGGCTTTGCTATCAAATACTGTAGGTGCAAATTTTAGCTCAACCACTTACCAGCCATCTGACTTGGGACCAATTTTTTTTTAACCTTTCACCTCAATTTAGTAATGGGTGAGGACTAAGCTGCAAAGAATGTGTTGAGTCGCTAAGTTTCCTTCCTTCTTCAAAAAAATTTGTAGCAAGTAATATTTACTAGCACTCACTATGTGCTGAACTAAATAGATGCATTTCCTGCTTTCATCTTCCCATCAGCTACATGAGACAAGTACTGTTGTTTGTCACTCAGCTGTGTCCAAGTCTTCTACAACCTCATGGACTGTAGCCTGCCAGGCTCCTCTGTCCATGGGATTCCCCAGGCAAGAATATTGGAGTGGGTTGCCATTTCCTTCTCCAGGGGATCTTCCCAACCCAGTGCATTGGCAGGCGGATTCTTTACCACTGAGCCACCAGGGAAGCCAAAGACAAGTATTGCCGCTGCTGCTGCTGCTAAGTCGCTTCAGTCGTGTCCGACTCTGTGCAACCCCATGGACGGCAGCCCACCAGGGCTCCCGCATCCCTGGGATTCTCCAGGCAAGAACACTGGAGTGGGTTGCCATTTCATTCTCCAAAGACAAGTATTACCTCTCCTCTTTTACAGCAAGGAGACCAAAGCCCAGGGAGGGTAGGTAACATGTCCACAGACACACAGCCTATAAGGAGTTATGCTAAGATTTTAGCCCTGGTCCTAGACAGTATAACATCTGCCCTTTTCACAAAGATCTGATTCAGATGAAGCAATGCTGATCTTATGAACCTCTTACCTTACCTACCTGGCTAGCATCTATTGGTTCTCAGGTAACCCAGATGGTATGATGACAGGCCCTGTGCATCCTTGGCTGAATGCTCATAGACAGCCATGGAATCCTAATACTGAACGAGTCCATGGTGACCTCCAGGCTCCCTGAATCTCCAGGCCCCCAAACGCATCCTCAGGGCCCCCTCTGGGGGTGGGGGTACTGACTGTGCTGAACTTCGGCATAGTCCCCCTCATCTGCTCCAGCCAGAGCAGGTAGCCCTGGTTCAGGTTGCTTTATACACTGGGATCCTGTGCAAGATTTTCTCTGATAAAAGGATTTTCAACTAAAACATGGAAATTTGAAAACCACTACCATAGAAAGGAGAAGGAAAGGCGACCAACTCCAGTAATCTTGCCTGGAGAATTCCGTGGACAGAGGAGCCCAGTGGGCTACAGTCCATGGGGTCACAAAGAGCCGGACACAACTAAGTGACTAACACACCATAGAAAAGCCCCCTCTTTTTTAAACAGGGGAGGACTCTGAAGCCCAGAGAGGTGAAGTAAGTTGCCCAGGCTCTCCAGCTGTCCTCCTGAGCCCCAAAGAGATCTCTGTCCTCTTTTCAGGACTCAGCGGGAATCAGATTGAGGGGAACTTCTCAGCCTTCAGGGAGCCCCTCAAGGTCAGTAGTCTGGGCCAGTTCTGCCAGCTGGTGGCCAGGTTCTATGAAGATAACTGTGTCTGAGGCTGACTCCCTGAACCTCGTCCGACCACATCTATTTCTGGGCCACGGAGCCCTGACGGAGCACAATTTGATTCATAAATTACCCAGCTCAAGGTGTGTGTGTGATGGGCTCTCCTTCCCAGATTTGAAAGTCATTCACTCCGGAACGTGCAGTACTTGGGGTGGGAGGGGGGGCAGCTGTGGGATCAGCACTCAAGGAGGGAAAACAGCAGGAGAGCCAGGGTGGGGGCGGGTGGGAATCACGGAGCCTTGCTCCATGTTCTCCATCTCATTGAATCCTCCCCCCAACCCCAGGAGGCACCTTCCATTATCATCATCCCTGTTTGGCAGATGAGGAAACAGGCTCGCAGAGGTGAGGTCCCTTGCCTGCCCAAAGTCCCATGGCTGGAAGTAGCAGAGCTTAGATTTGAACTCAGGGCTTTCTGATGCCCAAGTTTTTTACTGTCATGATGATGACAAGACAAGGAACTGAACCAGTGGCACTTAGAGGAAGAGGTTAGAGCCTGGGAAACAGTATCGAAAGGGAATTTCAGGAGTGCCAAGCCGCCTCTTTCCACCAAGTTCAGTGTTGTCCCCCACCCTGCCCTTCTTCACCACAGTCTTTCCCATCTAATGTCTTCTCCCAGTTCCAGGCACTGCTTTCTTCCACTTGCCCCAGGCACTGGTTCATTATCCTTCACACATACATGATGTAGGCTCAGCACTTTACAGCTTGTAAAGCATTTTCTGGTCCCTTATTCCACTGAACCTCCAAATAGCCAAGTGAGTAGGATAGGTATTCTCACCCCCAGTGGGGAAACTGAGGCTCAGAGAGGCCCACAGCCCATAAGTGTGCATCCAGTCCGGTCCTGTATGAGTTCTTCAGTCAGCTTTGTTGTACATAAACTCTGTCCTTCCCCTGGGGGTGACCGGTCTTCCCCCGTAGCTGGTGGGCTCCCCAGGCACATCCCCCGTCACCCCCTCACCCTGTGCCTCGGACAGAGGGGCCTTGTAGTGGGGTACACTGGCCCAGCCCTTCATCCTGCCTTTCCCTGTCTCAGTGCTGGATCCAGGCAGAGGTGCTGGAGGAGGGGGTGCCGGCTTCGTCGGGATGACAGACAGCACACACCCAGCTCCGTGCCTCCTTCTCCTTGGGCATCTGATCACTGTCCTCTTTGTTTTCTTAAGTGTCTCCCCTCCTCCTTCCCCCCTCACACTCCCCCTCTGGGACAAGGCCTTTCAGATCATCAAATATCAAACGCTTCTTATGCGAGGGCTGAGATGGCTTTATCGGAGCCCGTAAATCTCCCAGAGCCCTGACGCTCTCCGGAGTGCCAGGCCTCAGGTGAATTATGTGGGCTGGTCCAGCAGCAGGCAGAACACAGCCGAAGGACCCAGCGCAGCTCAGTACCCACCCTTGGCCCAAGGAGGGGCTCCAACTGAGGGTGGGCTTGGGTGTTCCGGGGCCACTTGCCCCAGATCCTGGAGGTAACACCCAGGATCTGGTGTTCAGGCAAGTGAGCAGTCAGGCAAGTGAGAGTCCTTGAGGTTCTCTCAGCCACTTTTCCCCTTCTCTTCACTTGTTCATCACCTGGCCAGTCTCTGGCCCCAGAGCCTAAGGAGTGTGAGCCCCACCTCGGAGAAACTATGGCAGTTAGGAGGGCCATTTGAGATCCAAAAGACCCAAGTTCTAATGCCAACATTGTCTTTAAGTAATCAGGTGTCCTTGAACATATCCCTTCCCTAACTGAGCCTCAGCTAACTCATCTGAAAGCAGTGCTGGCCTTGTGGGGTGTCTTGAGAATCCAGTAAACTCAGAAGTGCTCTGCCAGTGGGCAGAAGCAGGCATCTTCCCTGTCTCTTGGGGGTAGCCTGGTGTGTGAACTAAGTCTCCAGGCTCCAGAGTCAGACAGACTTGAATCCTGGTTCTGCCACTGATCAGTGGTGTGACTTCAGGAAATCACTTTAATTTCTCTGTGCCTGGATTTTCTCACCTATAAAATGGGAATAGTGATGATGATGATGATGATGATGATGATGATGATGATGCCACCACAAACTGGCAGATGGAATTTCTGTGACAAGTAATTGACCAATACATGGGAAGTGTTCCGGATAAATGGCCCTTGTTCTTGCTCCTTCTCTCACTCATCACCCAGTCCATGCATCACCAACAGGCCTTTCTGCCTCCAGGGCCTCCCCACTGCTGTGGACAAAAATCCAAGCTACTTACCCGGCATTTGAGGCTCCTGCCTCCTGACATCAGCCACTCCTGACACTGTTTTGTGTGAGCTCAGCTCCTCCCACTGGCTCCCGCCTAGGGAAGTGGTTGTCCCCTCCAGCCCTTTGCTCAGAATGCCCTCTTCCTCTCCATACTGACCCAAACCCAGCCCTTCAAGGCCTGGCAGAGGAGCCCCCTTGCACCAAGCTGCATGAGCTTTCTCTTCTAGATTGGGTGCCACTTGGGCACAGGGACCTTATCTTTTGCTGCTCAGCCCCTCCAGTGTCTTGCAAACTCCTCTTTAAGTAGAGCCCTTATTTCATTTGGCCGAGGTAGCAGTAACCATGGTGGGGAAGGTCCCTGTCCTCAGGGAGGTTAAATTCAGCAAGTATCATCAGTCATGGTGGTAACCCAAGCAGAGCAAGAGTTACTCATTAAAGTGAATCCATTTCCAAATCAGCCCATGTTGAGCACCAGCTTGGACACACATCATCAGACATTGAGGGATTTGGGTGGCAAGTATGCATAACATAAAATTTATCATTTTTAAGTGGCATTACATACATTCACAATGTTGTGCAACCATCACCACTATCTAGTTCCAGAACTTCGGGGAGTTTTCTTTAAAGGTACTTGTATTAATTCTTTTTACAAATATAATTCACATGAATCAACAAGGAAAAGCTGAAATGGCCCTAGAGCAATGGTTCTCAAGCAGGAGCAATTTTAGCCCCTTCAACCCCCATCCCAGGGAATGTTTGGCAATGGTCTGAAGACTTATTGGTTGTCACTACTGGGAGAAGGGGTGCTACTGGTTTCTAGTGGCTAAAGGGTAGGGGTGCTTCTAACCACCCCACAATGCACAGAGCAGTCTCCCACAATAGAGAAGTATCCAGCCCAATGTGATGGGCACTAAGGTTGAGAAACACTGTTCTCATGTCACTACTCAGAGATCATTTTTGTTAACATTTTGTCAACATTTCATTTCAGTCCTTTCTCCCTCTCTCTCTCTCTCTCTCTACATATATATATATTTAAATAACAACAAAAATGTGTACTGTGAATATGCTATTTTGTACCTCCTTTGCAGGGGTGAAATGTCTTAAACATCTATCTCTTTAAGTAACAAACTTCTCTTTTGCAACGTTATTTAGTGGCCGACCAAATTTCATATCGTAGTGTAATTAATCCCTGTTGTTAGACATCTAGGTTGTTGCCTGTTTTCTTTAGTAAGCAACCATGGTCAAAGTCCTGGGAGCTGCACCAGTGGGCACATCCACTGTTATTCCCTCTGGAGAAGTTTACCTGACCACAGAGTAGAGGTTTTTCAGGAGATCAGAAGGTTCTGATGGCAGCCCTGGCTCCTGGTGACATCTCGCCAATCCCCATTAAAGTGTTCTCAGAGGACCAGAGTTGCCTGTCCCTGTAGACGGGGAGCTGGGTACTGCCATCCGTGAGAGGGGTCTGGTGTGACCCTTTGCAACCCTGACATAATAGGCTTTACTGTCCTTGGCTGATCAGGTTAATGTTTCATAATTTGGAGCCAGTTATGAGCAGATTAGTCAGAGTCCAGCTTGTGTTCTTATTAGGAGAGGTGACCATTTGTTGGTGTAGTTGAGCTTGATGAAAACCGTCGTTCTGTGAAACGCCGACAAGACAAGCAGACTGCAATTCCCACCTGCTTATGGGGCTCGGAGGTCGTCTTTCCCCAACTGGCCGGTAATAACTGTAATTAACAAGACGCACTCAGCTCAAACATGTCACTGTGGGTGCGTCGGGAGAGTGTGATCGCCCCAGTTGGAAATGCTAATTGGTTGCCCCCTCTCCATGGCCCTACTGCAGTTATGATCTTTGTGAGTGTGACATTGTAAGTCACCCCTGTACCATTCTGTCCTGGAGCCTTTTACACCAGCCTCAGAATGGCACCCCACACCCCTGCTGTAGCCTATGCGTCATTCAGAAGCCTTTGTTGTGCACCTGTGTGTGTTACCTGGGCACTCCTGTGTGTGTGTGTGTGTGTATGTATGTATATATATATATATATATTCCAGTGTGAGAGACAGACAATAACCAAACACATAAATAGATGAAAAGAGAAGTTCAGAAAGTAGAAGTGCTTTGAAAGAAACAAAACAGGATAATGGAGAAGAGGGTGATGAGGGCAAGAGTAGGATGGTGGGGTGACTAGAGAGTGCTTCTTCGAGGCCCCCTCAAAGGTGAACCTGTGAACTGAGACTGGATTGCAGACAAGGCCCCTGCAAAGATCTGCAGGTTGAGCATTCCAGGCAGCTGCAGGGAAAGCTTTGGAGAAGGGGGTAGGCCTCATCTACCTTCACAGTCCTTGGGGCAGGGCCACGCAGCAAGCTCTCCTTGCATCTCCTGTGATTGAAAGCTAAGGTAATCCACACCACTGGTTGCCATATGTTGGACACAGAGCTGTTGAATGCAGCCCAGCCCAGGTGCCACCCGGGACTTAACTCGGCCCCTTTTGTCAGCAGGCAGCTAAGTAACAATTTTTAATTCATAAGATATCTTGCCCAAAGCCCATATCTCAGACTGACTCCCAGTTTTCATTATGCAGTGATACAGTTCTGTACTAGTCAGAATTGTACGGCTCCACTCGACAGTGATGGGCCTGTCGGCCAGCTTGTCCCACTGGCCCAGGTGACATAGGCAGCACACAGGCAGCTGTTTAATAGGCTGTCCTTGGCTGGGGACAAGGGGGGAGGGAAATCCA